GCAAACCATCGCCATCCAAGTCGTTGTCCTCTGTCGGAAATACAATCAATATATATTCCATGGATTTCTATATAGCAATCGATATCTTACCAGAATTTGGTATGCCATCGCCGTCGATGTCGTTGTCTTTCTCATTGACCACACCATCTCCATCGATATCTGCATCCTCGTCGTTCGGTATGCCATCACCATCGAGGTCATCATCTTTGTGATTCGGTATGCCATCGCCGTCGATGTCGTCATCCTCTTCATTCGGTATGCCATCTCCATCAATATCATCGTCCTTATCATTCGGTATGCCATCGCCATCGATATCATCGTCCTCCGTATTTGGGATGCCATCGCCGTCGATATCATCGTCATCCTCATTTGGTATACCGTCGCCATCGATGTCGTCGTCCTTGTCATTCGGTATACCATCGCCATCGATATCGTCATCCTCGTCATTTGGTATGCCATCGCCATCTATGTCGTCGTCCTGATCATCTGGTATGCCATCGCCGTCAAGGTCGTTGACGCTCTTCGCGTCCTCTGTGGAATCCACATCAGTAATTTCAACAGTTTCTTTTTCATCAATCCCACCATCATCATCGTCGTCATCGTCCCCACGAGGCTGATCGGCTTGCAGTTCGCCAGAACCATCTTTGCCCGTGACACCATCTGCGGGAAGTGGGTTTTGTTATATAGGATGAATGACATATGCATATGACTACTGTCTAACTTGCCTGTTTTCAGTTCATTTATAGCCTTTTCAATGTAGGGTCGACATTCGGATTCGCTTGGTCCCGCATCGGCATTGGCAAACCCAACTATAAAACAGTTTTAGATTATTAAGAAGAGTATATGATAGGATCCACTAGAAACTTTATGTAATTAGAAAAAAATAATAATAATTTAAGATCGTGCAGGGGTTATAATGTAGAATTTCGATAATGAAAAATATATAACTTATTTTCTAGCATATATAATTTAACATATTTTTTAAGAAATTTAAAAGATCGAAAAAATGATTAAAGCATAGATTTTTAAATTAAATACAGAGATAGGTATAGATAAATCGTAGGGGAAGTCGAAAGAAATCACATATAACTTCATATATGACGACAATGATAGATTTGCTTTAAAATCATACATGAAGTATATAAAGTATAGATAACAATGCAGTCTTTTTGCATACGAATATCATATAGGATTTATGGAAAAGTTTTGGAGGCTCTTCACTTGTATACCTAGCCTTAAAATTGCTATTTGCCGCCTTCGTGTTTGATGTCAGCGCCGAGGTTATTTTATCTTTTCAAACTTGACATTATTTATTGAATATACCCACACACACACATACACACACACACATGCACACACTCTCACTCGCCCCATGAAAAATGTTCGAATATTTATGAATTTTATTTTTAAAAGATGAAAACTCAAACACATTTCGCTAGTTGCTGGCTTTTCGGCAAATGTGAATGGGTATATAATTTTGTTGGCCAGTCGCCCACTATATCTTAACTTTTCCAAATTGGATTTCTCTTTCCATTTCTCGTACTCGCGTAGTTTAGTGACGTACATATACTAGAATTATGCATGTTCGTGTCTATAAGGTCTGCTCTTACTGTGAGTGCTTCGCTATATTTTCCCTTCCATTCTGTTTGGTTCTGTAGTCTAGTAAACTGAGGTCGTGATGTGTGTTTGAGTGACAGGCACGTTTAAGGTCGTTGCTAATTACTTTCTCAATTGCTGACAGCTGCGTTGGCTCATGGAAAAATTTGTTGGTTCGACTTGATTTAAAGGATATCTCTAGCGCCTTTATTTTTTGGTGCATGCCCAAGACGATATTCTCGATATGCAATTCAGCTGTCAGCGGGTAATTCCCTTGATTTATGTGCAAATACAATATATGCAGCTATTTAAGTTATTTCCCAACCCATTCCTCTTTATCGCATAAACAGATTTATTTATACAAATCCGTCTTGATGGCTGCAGGCATATTGTGTTTATGTTGCTTGCAATCTATTCCCAAATACTTGCACATTATATAGATCATTTCTTATTTCCCCTTTTTCTTTTTCTTTTTTTAATTTGATTTCTTCTTGTTTTTGCAATCTTTTGCAAACCAAACAAAATATACATAGGCCAACACACAAACACGATCCGCTCGACTATAGATACAGCTACAGCTACAGTCGCAGCTACAGATACTTGCTCAATACATAAAATAACTTAAAAATTCTAAATTTAAAAATATTACAAACGATGACAACGAAGAGCGAACATTTGCGGCGTTTCGCCGCACAAAATTTTTGTTGAAAAAAAAAAAAAAAAAAAAAAAAAAAAAAAAAAAAAGACCAAGTCAAAGAAGAAGAAAGTGACCAACAAAATGATACTATGTCTCTGTGTTTTGCGCGATCCATAGCTGTATGGGAATATTATCCAATGAGTCTAGGCCACCGAAATATTGAGATAGTATATGTATATACACATACTCAAAGTGTCGTCTCTAACGTTTGCATACACACACACACACACACGCACAGCTCAAGCAAATATTTTTAAATGTATATATTTAATTTTTGCCTCCTCTCTTTCACTCATGCACACACACTCTTTCACTCTCCCTCTCGCTCTCTCGCTCTCTTTCTCCTTATCTCTCCCTCTCTCTCTCTCTAGCTCATTTTCTTCTACAAATTGCATAATGCCTGCGTGTACGTTAGCCACTGGGCCAACAAAAAAAAAAAAAAAGACCGTTATATCGCTTATATAATACGCACATGTATACACTATTTATCATTAGGATAGATCCTTTGCTCGCACTCACCATTATAGGAAACGGCGATTAACGTCAGTCCCAGCAGGAACCAAAGTGTTAAACGCCCCATAATAATCAAATCAACAAATTATCCTTGAGTTCTCCCAGTGTGGTTAGCACGTTAGCCACGTCATAAATTCTCCTTTTATTCTTTCGACTTTTTCCCGTAATTATGTATAATTAGGAAAAAATATAAATATATTTAAATAATTATAAATCACTTGCTCGTATTTCGCATATATTTATATCCACCATATATGCGCTCGTTTAAATGCACTGCATGAAAAGGGTAAGAAATTATGAATGCTAGATTATTTTGCTTATTCGAGAACAGGCTATATACTACAAGCAATATACATATATATATATATATATATATATATATATATATATATATATATATATAATATATATACATATATATGTATCAACTAATTGGGCTCGTACAAATTTGTCACACTTTTTGTGGATTTTTTTTTTTTAATTTTGCACTGTTTTCGATTTTTATTTTATTTTATTTTTTCACTTTTTTTTTTTTATAAATTTCAGCTTTATTTAAATTTGTAGTTCGCGTTAGCTAGCCTTTCGCAAATTTTAACCAACAATCGTCGGCTGGGTAATCCTTAGTGTCCCTTTCGACGATTGTCAGCTAAATAATTTGCTTATTTCTGGCCCGTCGTCTGTGCACGGCGTGGTGCGATTCGTTTTTTGAAATAATCAGCACAGATTTTAGCTATATCTATTTTCTGGCATTTCTAAAAAGCAAGCTAGAAATTTTAGAAATTAATTTCTGTTTTTTCTTCTTGTTATTCTAAGTATATTGCGTACACGAGTATACGAGACGATCTCTCCCGGTCCAAAACCAATTCGTAACTCAACATGCATATACCATGAATTTACCTTGTGACCGCGAAAATTATTTCATTTTTATATTTTCGTAGCGAAAATTTTGTCAAAAGCACAGCGAAAACTAAAATTTATCTCTTTGGCAGATGCTCCCACAGAGAGTGAGTGAGAGCGGGAGAGCGATTGGGGAAATTTAAAGCGGCGCCGATTGCCTACAAGCAGCAGCTTGGGCAATTTTTAAGTTCAGGGAAATTTGAGTGGATTGAGCATACGTCTTAAACCAATTACCAGCAAAACTAGAGAATATCAGAGAGAGAGAGAGAGTGAGAGAGAGAGGGAAATTATGAAACCCGAAGTACGCAAACGTTGCTTGCCTTAAAACAGCAGGAGCAAGAAACTTTTTAAGCTCAAGGGACATTTTGTAAAGGAAAATGGTGTTCTTGGAGAGGAGAGTAGAAGACAGAAAGAAATTAAATTGTCTCAGTCGAAGTGCTGATGAAGCAATAAAAAAAAGATATTTAAATTATAAGTAAATGTACTCTGGTGAAAACTACTTAAATTATCCCTCGATATCATATTATAATTAAACGAAATTTCCTATATTTAGAGAATTTCTTTTCCATTTTCTATTTATAATGTCCTTAACACACATAGAATTCTCAATTTTGGAATAATATTTATTTATAGACAAGGATTTGCTTATTTTGAAAAAGATTACTCAAAGCTCAAGAGCAAGAAAGAACAGTAGAGAACAATAGAGAATATATATTTGTATAGTATGTAGAGTGAAAGCTGGCACATTCACCCATATAAATTTCATGTATTATCCGCTATTTAGAGCGCTGCGATTTATTTCTTGTCACAAATGATTAAATATTGTGCAGTCTCTGTCTATCTTGCTCTCCCATTGGCCGCTCTCGCGCTACACCGTGGGAATTTAGTTGTAAAATATGAAAATTAAATTTCTTGTAGCATTTATCACCGTTCATTAATATGCTTGATTGCACGAACAGCTGTTGGATGTGTGGATCGGTTCCAAGGCGACGCATCGATTCAGACAACTGCAAAATGCTTTAAAGTCTCCCATAATTTTATTTTTATAGAGCTATGACATCGAACGGCAGATTATATAATTAAGTGCAGCCCAATGTTATCATACCTTTTTTTTACCAGCAAACGATCTTGTTTTATTTATAATATAATGATATTTTATTCATATATATATTGTTTCTTACTTTTAATCTGGACTATATATGTATGTATATAATGGTTTCTGGCTCATTTAATGCAAATTTTATGTTATATTCAATTTTTATTGCTTTCGTCTGGGCAAAAGTAATACAATTTATCATTTCAATGTATGAAGGCTATTTTATTATAAATACTCAAAAGACCTAAGATCTATTGCTCACTCTCACTGAGCGCTAAAAATATTTACCTCAGCTAACATAATAAATAGTTTTTAAATAGTTTCAGATTTGTAAAGAAAATCCCTCCAAGCTGCCGCACTAGTGTGCCTCATTTCCATGATCTTTGTTCTTGATGCGAGTGCAGTAGTACCGATCGCTATTCTCGATCCAATCACAAACGTTGAGCACTGTATGGAAAGCTGTGCCCTCTTTACACTCAAATTCCACAGGCTTGCCATGCACGCAGCGGAAGTACTAGATGGAAGAGAGGAAATATTTAGGTATACATATGTATGTAGTAAGTAAATATTTTAGGCTTATGAATAACTAGGAATTTATATTTGATCTTCTAGGTCTTCTTCAATGCAAACTGCATTGTCCAGTTAAAGTGTCTTTATAAATTTCAATTCACAGCATATTCTGTTACTCCTTCCTTATACTACCAATCTGTCATTTCAAGCTACCCCGACATTCCCTAAATCCTTAACTCAAATCTTTACCTTTCGGCAGTTGGGATGCGGCACAAAGTCTCGGTTGGTGCAGTCAATTTCGCTGGCATCGAAGGCAACGCCGTTCTCTTCTCTTTCGGGATCGACGATCTCCTCGGGTTCTTCCGTAGAGCTGGGCGCAGCGGTTGTGGTTGTGGTGGTCGTTGTGGTTGTTTTCTTGGGCTTCTTGGGTTTCTAAAAAAAAAAAAAAGAGAATGTTAATGAAATTCGTAAATATAAATAGTGGTCTGTAGTCTTCTATATAGGCACCTTTGTGGTGGGTTTCTTGGTGGTGCTGCTCACAGCTGGCACCGGTGCTGACGTTGGGCTGACTGGCGTTGACGTTGGTTTTGGCTTCGGTTTCGGTTTACGCGTCGTCGTGGCCATCGGCTGCAGCTGCGCCTCGTCCGGATTGGGTGGTGTGGCGGGTGGCTTGGCCCATTCGGGCTGCAAAGCAAATTGCTCATTAGCTTTCACTGTGCTGCTGTCGCACACTTGGCAGCTGGCCCACTTACCCGTGGCGTCGTCTCGCGCGTCGGCTCCGGCACTGTGTAGTGCCGCATGTTGTTGTAGAGTATTTGCATTAGACCATTCTTAGGGCCGCAGAGCCCATGGAAGTCGTCCATGTCAATGGCCCAAGTCATGGCGCCCGCGTAGCCCTTGGCCTTGATGAAGTCCATTTTGATCTGCACCGAGGCCTCGTTCTCGTAGCCCACCCACTGGGTGTCCTTGTAGGTGTAGGGCACCATGCCCACATCGTCCCACTCCACGGTCCAGCCCTTCGACTTGTCCATGACCTCTGTGCAGATTTCGTAGTAGGCCAGGAAACCGCTCGCATTCGTGTAGGGCCCTGGAGCACCGCCGCCCGCCTCCTTGTTGATGTAGGTGCCCATGTTGTAGTTCTTGTTCGAGTTGCTCAACGTAAAGGTGCGTCCGTAGAAAGGCACGCCCACCACCAGTTTGTTGGCCGGACAGCCCATCTCCTCCCACAAGGCCAGGCCGTCATTCTACAAAGGGAATGCTCATTAACTCATCTCTCTCTCTCTCTCTCGCTCTATTCCCCTCCCACCTACCACATTGAGTCGCTCGTAGGCGTATTGATCATGCTTGCGCTTGTACAGCGGACTATGCACATCCGCGAAGCCGGCCCAATTGCCGCGCAGGTCATAGGTCATGGCATGTATGGCATCCAGGAGTCTATAGGAGATTCAAAATGCAACAGAGATTAGATAGACTATCTCAGTTGGCTACAGTCAGCCACTTACTCGCACAGCTCGGGCACATGGTAGCCTTCTTGCAGCCGGAACTTGGCCACCGGCACCGCCATGGTGATCTCCCAGCCACGACCCTCGCGATCGAAGGCGCGTCGCAGCTCCTGCACAAAGTACAAGAACTTGTCCTTGTCTCCGTAGCTGCCTCCGCGATCCGTGGCGCCCGGATACTCCCAGTCCAGGTCGAAGCCATCAAAGTCATACTCTTTCATGAATTGCACCACGCTGCGTATAAAACTCTGGCGTTTCTCGCGAACCGCTGCCATTCGTGAATACTTGGCACCGCCCTCCGCCCAGCCACCCACCGCTATCTGGAGCTTGAGCTTTGGATGCGTCTGCCGCAGCTGCGTGAACTTGCGGAAGCCCTCTTGCTCCACATCCAGCTCGGGATCTATGACCAGCACCTCCCAATTCTCATCATTCACGCCAATGAAGGAGTACACCAGATGCGTGCACAGATCCGCTGGCACATCCTCCAGCCCGTAACGTCCAATGCCTGGACGATAGACGGCCCAGTTGCTGAAGTAGCAGACAATGCGCGCTGGCTGTTCGCTGGCCAGGATGAGGCTCGGCACGCCCAGCAGGAGCAGCAGCAGCAACATGAGATGATGTTGCACTGCCAGCAAAATAAAGCAATCGAATTGAATATTGGATGAGGGAAAAATATTTTAATTATAGAGAGAAACAATTGAGTTAAATAAGGTTCGGATTACGTTTCTTAGAGATGAATATAATTTTAAATTATTATTTAAATTTTATATTATATTTTATATAATTTATTATATATTATTATATATAATATATTATTATATATTATATATATTATTATATATAACAGTTGTAAAATACAAGCAAAAGCAAGCAAAAAAAAAAAAACATTTATTAAATTAATATGCCTTCTTGAAATACCTAAATTTTGACCTCATTCAAGGAGGTGTGTCGAAGCGTTTACTATGCAGACCAAAAACATTTATTATAAGCCACACACATACATATATAGAAACTCTTCGACACGCCTTCAGGAAAGATATATGTACGTATGTATACAGTATATATCGAATTTTTCTGCCTTCATCATTTTTATATTAAAAATTTTAATATTTGCTGAAATTATGTAGAACCCAATTTTATTGAAGGCTGACGCTCGGAGTAACTATATAATCTAATCTAGTCTACAGTCTGCAGTCTAAGTGAATGAATAGCAAATTGACTGGCGAAATAATAACACCCAGATGCAGAAGTATAAATAGAATGAACAGCTCAATTAGCTAAAAATAGTTCACCCAATAAGAATAAATTTGTTTAGTTTTGCATCTGTTTTCGGTGCTTTCTTTCGTCCGAGCTCATCGAAATGAATATATGCGATCTTCGAGCACCCTGCGACAAGGGATCGTTTAGCCACTTAATATGATATTTTGATATTTAATAGCGAGTCGAGCACATTCTCCGAAATGGTAGTAACGATGTTACGACTTGTTTTTCAAGATACACGCGACGTGCATGCATAAATAACGGCCCGTACATGACGAAAGCACTGGATGCATGCGAGTTTTTGGGCGTGCTAAGGCTATGTGACCATAATGCTGCACATGATCCGAGACTTGCGACGAAATATATGCGAGTTCATTCACCGAATATGTGAAGAATATATATAAGAATGTATATACCCCTATGTATGTATAAATATATATTGTATCACTTAGTATGCAGAGCGAGCCTTACCCATTTTTTAATGCTAAAAACTCGGTAGTAATACTCGATTATACGATTATACGAACTGGAACGGGGATATACGAAGACGACGACGACGAAGACTTGATGCGGCGCTCGTTTGGCATCAAATGACAGTCAAAGTCGGCTCGAGCGGTGCTTTTATAGGTGGCTTCTGGATTGTAGATTGTGGCGTCGGCGCTGGCGCTGGCGTTGACGTTCTGGTCCGGTTCTCGGAGCGAACGAGCCTCTTTGTTCCTGGCCAAAGTGCGTGAGAGGCAGAGATTTGTGGGCTGTTTTGCTTATGGATTTCGGTTTGGATTTCGACTGTTGTCTGAAGCTGTGCTCAATTCGCGATCTCTCGACTTTCTTTCCATTTGTTTTATGTTTTGTTTTGTTCTGTTTTGTTTTGCACACGCTTTTTATGCGATGTGATCTGATTGAGGCGGAATTGTTTATGCTCTAGAATAACAAATGGATAAATGGATAAACTCGTTTCGGATAACACTTCCGCTGCTCATCCTGCCATGAAAGTGCGTAAGGCAAATGGAATAGGAGTTCATTGGCCCAGCGTTCATGCGCTGATAAGTTGACAGAAATGATATTCCTTTAAATGCACTTGGAGAAATAGGGGAGATTTGTATACAGCTTACAAATAGAATCAACATATTTTGGTCTACGAAAATTCTTACAATTTAAAAATTAATTGAATAACATTATATAGTTTATTTGAAGTATGCAAATTCTTCTCAGAAGTATTTTTTTTAGTTAATTCTAGTTTTTTTTTTTCACATGATGATACTTAACAGAATACAAATTCGATTCCAGTTATATCCAATTATTTCTCCGAGTGCATACACTTAGCTAAGTCCACTGCGTAAGTCAATGGCCAAAGTGAAATCCTCAGTGGTTGTGGCTGCTGTGGTTGCAGGCGCCGCTGTTGTCTGTCTGCTCGTTGGCGGTGCTAAGCTGCTTGTGCTTGAGGTGAGCTCTGCGGATTCTTGCTGGTTTTCTATAGGCGCATAAATAAGATGATATTACAAATTCTCAATGTCATGCACTTGGACTCACCATTGAAAGGCGCTAAAGGAACTTTATACTGCGGCTCGCCCTGATGATTATCGTCGTTACCATAGCCAGTAAATCCAAAGCCAAAGCTGGGACCGTGACCGGGTCCATACCCATGTCCATAACCATGACCATATCCACGCCCACGACCATAACCATGACCATATCCGAATCCGAAGCCACTCCAATAACCAAAACCATAGCCCGGTTCATGTCCATGATCAAATCCCTGACCGAATCCATGTCCAGGCCAATGTTTGCCATGCCTGCCGCAGTGAACCAATCCATCCACATCGTAGCGTCTTGGACGTTTTACTGCTGCTGCTGCTTCTGCAGGCGCTGATTCCTCCGCCCATAAATCCTGATTTATATAGGCGCTACGAGTGGAAAAAAACATTCAGATTGGTCAGCCAAGACTTTCAACCAGACATATATACATACGCATTCTCGATGCCCGGAGCTGCCTGCACGAGCTGCACTTGCTGCAGGCTCCAGACAGCCAGCAGCATCAACTGTGTAAAATATGCAGACGGAGATGAAGATTTGAGATTTGAGAAATGTCACAACTGCGACGACTCTATAATGAAACGCTGAACTTACGCATGTGACGGAGCCTAGGAGAGACATTGTCTATGTCGGAGCAGAACTGCGCTTCTTAAGCAGACGATGCCAACTGTCGACTCAGTTAATTCCGCACTGTTAATGAGTCGACAATGGGTTTTTTGCCTGTGCTTAATATATGTATATCGGTGTGTATTCATATGTATCTTGCTATTTGAGTTGCGTTCACTGAGAGTTTTGAGCTTTTTTAATGCGCATCATCAGCAATAAAAGCAACAACAATATCGAACATAACAACTATAGGCCAATCAGGTTTGATATTGTTTCAGGTTTCTCGAAATATATGTACTAGCCACTCTTTATATACATATCTTGATTGTCGGTCCATATATGCCCTACGCTACTCATTAAATGTGTGATAATTAACAGCGCTTTTGGTCCACTCTAATCGCTCTCGGTATACAACGAGTTCGCTTGATTATTGGCCTACGTGCGAGCTGCTTGCTCTATAATATATCGAAAAATTATTCTATTCCTAACTTACTTTTTGCTTCTTTTGTTTTTTATTTTTTATTTATTAATTATTTTTTAATGGGCTCGCATTGAATGGCATCTGTTCCATGATCACGTTTATGCTAATCGGATGTAAGAATTTGATAACGCAGCTTATTCGTTTGCTTTTAGAAAGTTATCGAATGCTCTACATTTCGCAGGCAGCTTAACGTGTCCCTCCCCCACCACCGCTTCCACCAGTCCCTCAAGCTTTTGGCAGCGCCACCTGTCATCCAAAACCAATTTGCCTATACGCCCACACTCACACACACGCGCCACTTTATGCGTAATGTGGTATGTGTGTGTGTAGCCTCTGTTTGTCATGCTGAAAGTGTTGTGCTTTATTCGCATTCTGCTCTGATTATATACCCTGTAGGCCGAAGATGTTTGACACTTTCCACTTATATTACCTTCATATAGTTTATACAGGGTATACATTAGTCTATTACATTCAACTCATATACGTCGGTTGACATATTTCGTAAATACTTAAATTGTATGCTCTTTTAGATAGACATACAGGGTATATTTTAGTCGGTCACTCCTTCATTGAACAGTTTCACATATCGCTCAATGGACTGTCAGTATTTATGCATATCAAATGTAAGATTATATAGTACTAGGCTATTTCAAATACATTTGCGGGGTATATATCAGTCGATCATTGGCTCATGCATAATTCCAATACGCTGTTTGATAAGTCATATGCATGGCTAACAATCTAATTTACATAATTAGCTCGTTGGCTACTTCCCAGACTCAGGCAGGGTATACAATAGTCTGTCAGTTTTTCATCCTATCTATACGTAACTGAAAGTATTATTTGTCAGCCTGTTACTAATATTTAAGTCCATCATTCGCTCATAAACCATTTTCAGCTTTATCTATTTTACTTTACATATTTTACTTGAAACCTGCTTCAGAATCGCATAAAGGGTATATTGCTAGTCGATCAGTCGTTCACGAATCACATCCAAATGTTGCTTTATGGGCTTGTCCGCTTGTTTGTTGTCTTGTTGTTATTATCGGCACTGAGTAGATCAGCCTTTTGTGTGTGTTTCATTGTGATTCATGCCGGGCTCTGCGTTTGTCATCGTTCGTGCGTCTCTATTTTTAATAGAGTCCACATTGATCTTGAAAGTGTCGCGGACAATTGACGCAAAATTCCCATTTAGCCGGCAGCCCAGCCATTGAGCTGGGACTCTTCCTGTTCCGTAACCTTCGGCTTTAACTGGACACAATAACTAAATAAATAATTGAAATGCTGGGCGGGATTTGAATTGTCAACTATATTTCTTTATTGATAACATTTATCTCGTCTTTTCGCAGTTTTCTTCATATTTTTTTATTTTTCTCTTTTTGTATATTTTCATTTTCGTTTAAACATTTGTCATATTATGTCATACATGGTGTATATGTATATTTATATGTATATTTATATGTATATGTATATTAATGCAATAAATATTTAGTGTGAGTGTTTTTTTTTTCTTATTCTGTGGAATATGCGTGCAATACATAGTCGAATATATATATGTGTATGTATTTATGTATGCGTGTATAAGCCAGAACTAGCATAGCAATTGACTTGGCTCGCACTAAGGTCAAAACAAGGGTTTACATTTACATATAGCACCGCGAAATGTACAAATCATTTAAGTTTATTTATTACGAAATATATATATATTTAATAAAAATATAATTAAAATTATTGAATCAATATCAAAAAATTGGCGCAAATTAATAAACTAAAGAACTTAGCATTAAATAAAACTTAAAACTTTTAACAATATTAAATTATGAACGTAAAATATTATTTTTTTTCTTTTTTTTTTTTTTTTGTACAATTTGCATTATTTTATTTATGTATATTTTTTGAATAATTCAATCTCTCTATTTATATATGATTTTTAAATATATATTTAACAATTTATCGTTGTGTGTTTACTATATGCATATATAATTTTATTTATTGGTGTAGCATATGATATATCTTCCACATTTTCCCACTCTTCTCAGCTCTTTTTTAATAACTTTAAAAGTTATGCAGACATTAACATCGAAATTGCATTTTATAATATTTTATCATTGACTTTTTGACTTTTCTTTTTTAGTTTTTTAAATACATTCAATAGTTTCTTTTCATATAATTGCCTGGGTAATTGACCTACATTTAAATAATTGTTTACTCATATGATTCTTTTCTTATTTATGAATTTCATTATTTATTGATGCAATGCAAACGCTTGATTAATTTTTAACTAATATGTGCATGTCTTTTCATATAATATATATGTATATTATATTTTATGTTTCCATATAGTGTTTGTGATAGGTACATTTGAAATATTGCCAAGTTGTGAAATGCTTTAAAAGTGCGCCGTTATTTGAGCTGCTTTCTGATGATGTATATATGTATATATTTTAGATATATATATCTATATAAGTATTTATAGTACAGATATGGATATCTAACTATCATTTGGTGCCTTTTGTTGTTGTCTGCTTTTGATTTTGGTTGCGATCTTAAAAAGTTTTATCAAATGCAATAATTGGCTTCAAAATTGTTGCTGTTGTTTTTTTGTTATTGTTGTTCTTTTTGCTGTTGTTGTTTGGGAGATTTTGGTTTAAAATGCGCTACTCTTCACAAAAAGTCTGTTGTAAAAGTCTTTAAAGTTATTGTTTTTAGTTACCAAACACATGCCATAGCTGTGCTTTATACTTTCGATATATTTATACATACGTATATATATATATATATTATATATTTGTAGGAGCCCGCACAGGAACGTGTACGTGTTTACACTATACAACAAAAGTATTGACGCGTTGTAGACCGGATATGGCTGGACTATGCTAAGCGACAACAGTCAATAAACTGTACTATATATGTATGTAATTTGTTTTTGTTTTATATAGAGAACGTTGCTTTAACATTTGATGTAATTGCCATCGTTTATATTGATTAATAACACGCTTAATGATATGTTGCATCTTTATGTAGTATATATATGTATATATATTCATGTATATATGTATAATAGAGTGTGAGTAAGCATAAACATTTTGCCTAAAAATTCGTTAAATTTATATTTATCGTTCATATGGAATTTTCTTTAATATTTCTTAAATTTTTTTCGTTTTTTTCAGCATCATCATTTTTTGATATCTTTAAAATTGGTTGTTCAGTCAATCAAGAATTGATACGATTTCGATTTAAATTTTGTTTTTTTTTTTTTTTAGCAAAGTTTCTAGTTTGATTTTGTTGGTTGAAGATAAATGCAGCTGTTATTGTGCTTATTTATTTTTATATATATAGATAGACACATATGTAGATCTATCGTATACTATATAGAATCAGAATCGCCTCTTTTTGTTGTGCTTGTTGCGCTTAACTGTAAAAGTTGTCGCGCTGCTGATATAACGGCAGTGGTTCACTTGGCGACTCCGAGCGGCGCTCCTCATCGCTGCCTGGCTGGCCGCCTTGTCCATTGGCCGACTTCGACATGGCTTTCTCTGTGAAGAGATAATATATAATATATTTATAGAAAATTGAATTACATTGAAGCTCGAAGCCAAAAAACCTTCCCAAGCGTGCTGAAAAAAGTTGGACGGAAAAATGTCCGTAGAAAACTTTTGTTCATAAATGGGTTAATAATATATATGTCTTGTTTGTTTAGAGTATATGTGTTGCTGTTGTTGTTATTGTTGTTGCTGTTGTTGGCAAGTTCTCTTATTAATGTTGCATTTATTGTTGTTGTTGTGGCAGTGCTTTGTTTGTATTGAGCGTATACTTACTCGTCTCTTGAGCTTTGTTCGACTGATTAGCTTGTGTTTTTGTATTCTCAAATATTTTACGCAATTTTTGCAAGTGCACAAATTTGGTTAAATTATCTTTGAACTTAGCTAAGCTTGGAATATTTATAATGAGCTTCCTCAAAGAGATTAATAAAAAGCTATTGCTACTATTTGTTTGACGGCTGTTCAGAAACTCATTTTAAATAACTATTTGACAATTACGTTTGACTTATCGCGGCATGAAAATTTTCGACACATTTTTCAGCGATCAGTGAATCTGTTACTAATTTTTCATTGAGAGCTTTTCCTTACAATTTATTCTTAACAGTTGGTATTCTTTTTTTTTTTTATTTATTTTTATTTTTTTTAAGGATTAGAATTTTATTTAGTTTATATTTTGTATTTTCATGAGCACAGTATATATTTCATATTTAAATTGTTATTGAAACCAAGAATAAGTTAAAAAAAAAAAAAAGAAATATAGGTAAGTTCAGGCTGACTGGGTTGCATAAGCAACAATTAATCAGGATCAATAACAATCAGCCAGATAATAATCGGAAAGCTGACCTTGAAGGCATTACGTTATCATCTTCACTTCTTTATATACTACGATGTCTGACTCACATTTGTTCAGCATCTGTGAATATTCACTCACTTCTCAAGAGGCAACTCAAACTTTGCTCGATTTTATTTAGACATCTCTTGATTTCATCTTTCACTTAAGTCCTGTTCTCCTCTATTCCCATGCCTTAAACTTCGAATAGATTTGCACTGTGTTGTGTTTTAATTTGTTATTGCTTTCATACAATTTCTAAAGTGCCTTTTGGTGTTTCTCTACGGACTCTATAATTGTTTGCTCTTGTGTATGTGTGTGTATGTATGCACGTGTCTAGGTATGTGTGTGTGTGTTTGAGTGTGTTTACGTCTTTTAATAAAGGTGTTCGTATTTTTTCCATATATGATTTTATACATATATGTATATGTTTTGATGCTTCTTATATTACAAGCGCGTGCGTGCTGATTAGTAAGGCCAATTCAAAGCTAATAACTAAGATTTCCAAATAAAACTGAGTATAATAAAAATATACAGCTATATATATTTGCATATATATTATTATATTTATAAGATTAATGCATGATTAAATTATTAAATAAAACATGTGTACAAACCTTGACTTACGCATTTGTTTAACTGTTGTGCTTGTTGTTGTTGCTGATTGTACTTGTTGTTGTTGTTGCAATGGCTTAGTTGTTGTTGTTTTTGTCGTTTAGTATTTTGTGATTGCTTTGAACTGATTTTTTTGTTTTTTGTTTTTAGTGAGCTTAGCATGCGATAATCTCAACGTCGCGTGAATTCTTGCTGTGCTGTTGTTGTTGTGGTTGTGGTTATATGTAATGTAGTTGTTGTGGTTGTTGTTGTTGCTGTTGCTCTTATTGTATATAGTATAAGTGTAGCATATGCATATGTAAGTCGAATTACATCACATATTTGGCCCATTTCTTTCGTCATTTTCTTTCAACTCAAACAAATAACACAAAAAAATGTATACAATTGGTAAAACAAAAACATAAACAACACGACAGGCTATTAAATGGAGTTAGTTGTGACTAGTGGGATTGCCTAAAAAATATGCAAAAAATAAAAAAAATTAAATTAAAAATAAAAATTAAATTAAAGGTAAATTATGTTCATAAATATTTTAAACACAAAAATAATTTATATATAAATTTGTTTAACAGCTTTACATTCAAATTTTTGTATTTAAGTCAAATTAAAATGTTATTTAACATGAACTGTAAAGTATTTAACATGAACTGTTGAACGCGGCGTATACGCAATATATATGAAAATTCATAGAATTCAAACGATTTGTTTATTGATATTATTCTTAAAGATACAGTTAAGACAGGTGCTATATGCATGATTGGTTTATGTGGGGCTTGTTTCATATGTCTGGGAGTATGATCATTTGTGACTGTGGACGAGTATATGTATGGTGTGTTCTTGAAGTGTCTGTGAGTGGATATTAATATGAATGTCGTACGCCTTTCGATGAGCTCGCAATGAGATGAGAGTGATGGAATTGGATATTGAAAGGAGAGAGGCGTAACAGCTTATACATGTTATATGCATATGATACGTATTTATTAATCGTCTAGAAAATTAGAAAAAGTTGAGAGAGAATATATATATAGTTAGATTAGAAGAGCATAGAGACAGTTTTGAATGGGGTAAACACAGTCTTGTGATTCAGCGCTGTTATGATATAGAAACACACTGAATCAACGCTTAAATACATATACAATAATACATATAGAAACATATATAAGACGTAGAGATGTACATATTTATATTTATATGTGAGTGGCTTGGAATGTGAACAAAAAACGATTTGGAGCGGATTGCTTATTAGTAGAAAGGGAAAACATAAACATGGAACATAAACTCAACTCGCAAGCAATGTAAAACTTTTAAGGATGTTCCGCGGACATCGAAACAAATTCAACTCTGATGTTCCTTATCTTATGATAAAACATATAGTACTAATGCTATGCATTCGGCTTTACATTTACGTACCGGCAACAATTTTGCTGACTTGCATGACTTGCTGGGCCAAAATTTGATTAAGCTGCAGCAAATGCTCGCGCTGCTTCTTCTCCGCATTGATCTTGCTGGCAGGCAGCGTTTCGCTCTCCTGGAGGGGGGAAACAAGGGATCACAATTTATTATTAAATTAGTAAATCAGTAAATATATTTATATATAAAGTCTGCTTACATTGCTGCTAATGGGCGCTTCAGCGAGCATCTTTTTAATGGACTCGACCTTCTCCTGGCGACGCTTCTTCTCCTCAGGCGACAGTTCGGGCGTCTAAAGAGAGAGAAAGAAAGGGAAAGTTATATTTATTATGATACTCTCTAAGATCTGTTGAGCTCCACTCACTGTTTCTGGTATGTAACGCTCGGGTATGACTATCTTATTGGGCGCCAGCAGCAAATTGTCTATGGTATTCTCGGAGATCTTCTCGCCCTGTCCCAGAGCTGAGCGCACCACATCGGGCGCATTCATGCGTGGACGCAACGCCACCTCCATGTCGAGATCATCACGTGCGCGCCAGTTGGTGTTCTGCAAGGTAAAATGAGTTATCTAAGTATGGCAGAGACTACGGACTCAGTGACGACTCACATTGCGATTCATATCGTTCTCGGCCTGCACCTTCTCCATGGCCTTCTGGTTGACATTATTGGGCGCCGTGTAGTGTCGTCGCTTCTCGCGCGGCACAGCGCGTCGATGTTTGTGTGGCGGTGGCACGCGCTCCACAATCTTCTCTGTATCCTCGGAGGCGGAGCCAGCGGACATTTCGTTGATGATCTGGCGAGCGGCCACACTCTGGAACACCGGCTCTGGGCTAATGTCTGTTAGGCTCTTGTTGAGACTCTGCAGCGACTCGGTCTTGGTGCGCAGCGCCACGCGTGCGCTGTCCCGACTGGGATGGGTCTGCTGCTGCAGTTGCTTGGCAAAGTATGCGTTGGCCAAAGGATTCAGATGCTCGCGCTGCTGCTGCTGCTGATGATGGTGGTGGTGGCCATTGCTCTGGGGCGCTGGCGGCGGCGGTGCCTCGTGCTCGTAGTTGCTATTGCGATCATAGTCGGAGCCGCCGCCGTTGAAGTGGTGTCCGTTCTGCTTGCCATTCATGTGGCGACTGTGCCTGGGCTTTGGCGGCTCGTTGTAGCTGCGTGGCAAAGACTTGGACCGGCTGTGATGGCCATTGCTCATCTGCTCCTCCAGGCTCTGAGCATACTGCTGCTGCTGCAGCTGCTGGGCGTATTGCTCCTCCTCCAGCACCTGGTCGAGATTCTGTGTGGAATTGCTCAGGCCACGCTCGCTGCGGTCGCGATGTCGCCGCTCCGACTCCCGCTTGACAATGCGCACCGTTTTGATCTCCTGCTTCTCCAGATTGCTCAGATTGGCAAAGGGATTGCTGTCCAGGAAACCATCGCTATCAACGCCGCTCAACTCCAGAGCATCGCTGCTGCCATTATAGCGATTGTAGTCGCCCAACTTGGCGCTGCTATTGGTGTCCACGTAGAGCGGCGTCGACAGATTCAGCGTGGAGTCATTCAGATGCTGCTGACTGCCATTGTGCAGCATGTTGGCATCCAAATCGGTTTCCGTCCAGCTGCTCGAATTGCTGCGCTTCTTCAGGCTGCCGTTCGAGGTGCCCGTTCCGTTCGTCGGACTCAATTCCTTGTTGCCGATTTCCTGATACAAACGCGTCGAGTTCTCCGTCAACTGTCGCACGGCCGAGCTCAGCTCATGCCGCTGCCGCTGCATATCCCCCACCAGAGATTGCACCCGCTCCAGCTCCGACTGCAGCACTGCTGCCGTCTGGTTGCCATTCAGCTGACTGGCATCGCTGTTGGCGCCGTTGCTGCGCGTCGACTGCACCTTCTGGCGTAATGTGAGCAGCTCCTGCTCCAGGCGAGCATTGCCCGCCACAGTCTGCTCCAGTTTCTGTAGGCCATAAATGATATGATGAATGTTTAGTTTAAAGTTCTTTGATTCAGTCTATGGCACATGCAGCAGTTTAAATTGATAGGCGAAACGTAGAAGTTTTTTGCATCATGGGCTATGCCTAGGCCCTAGGGGACACTAATTTGTATGTTTTTATTTATATATAACAAACGGATAAAGCCAGGAAGGAATTTCATCTACAATTTTCATAATTTTTCTTACTTTTCAGCTGCATTTTTTCCAATTTTTATTTCTATTCTGCTACTACTACGAAATTTGATCAAATTTAAAATATTTTAATTTAAATAATTGTTTTTTTCAATATTTTTGCAGCTTTTGTTTAGTTACTGAATTTCTAAAAATAATACAAGAACTCTTCATCTCTCATTAATGAACTATTTTTGTATAAAAATATATATCTGTGAAATTATGGGACAGCAGAAAATATATAATTAGCTCTGGATCGAAACTTAAATTAATCATCACTCTTAAAATTAAAGTGAATCATTAATCAATCTTCCCAAAAATTCATTAAATTCTCAGTCGACTTCAATGAATTACAATGAAATTCGAAATTTATGATTATTTCAGTTATTTAATAAATATTTTGCTTAACTCCATCTATAGAAATTTGTAACGGATATCGATTTAGCCCTTATGCCAATCGACACAAAGCAGTTAGTTAAATATTTATATGTTTTTTGGTTGAATGAGTTCTCATTAGTTACATAAGCGACATGCGAAGCTGAAGCAGACGAAAACTAGACATATATACATATATATTCACATACATATGTCTGACACATATAATGCAAAAAACTTCTACTAGGCACCTGGGCTACCTTAGAGTTCTCGGCGAGCAGTTGATGCACACGCGATAGCTCGCGCTCCAGTATATGCTGCTGCTTCTTGGCCGCCTCCAGGGCCATGGGCGTGGCATTGTTGTCGTGTATGCGTGCCCGTAGTCCGCCCAAGGCGCGCTCCAAATCCTCCTTGTCACGCTGCAGGCTCTGCAATACGCCCGACTCCTCCTGCAGCAGCTGATCCAACTGATAGAGCTCTCGCACCTTGGCCTGAGAAGGAGGCGAAGCATAAATATAATATGTATTTGATATTTGGAACATTCAGGTTTTGCATTACCTGCAGCTCTGTCTGATTGGGACTGAGTCGATCCCATTGCTTCTGCTCCTCCTGCAGCATCTGACGCTCCTGCATGCGCTGATTGAACTCCAGCCGATCCATGGTCGCCGGCTGAGCACGGCCATTGGCATCGTTGCGATACAACGAGCCCAGCTTGACCATATTGTCCACCAGATTGACCAGCGGCTTACTCTTCTCATACTGCCGCTCCAGGTCCAGCAAATGCTGCTTCAAGTAGTCCAAGCGCTGTATGCTCTCCGCACGGGTAAGTCCCTCGGCGCCGCGCAGCCGATTCTGTGGAGAGTTGCAATTGATAATGAGTAAAGCTCAAATGGACAGAGTTTTAACAGTTAAGAATTAACAGTTAACAGTTAAAGTTAGAATTTTAGTCACAGGAATAGCCAACACCAGTTAGTCAACAGCCAGCACCCATTTGAATGAAGTTCACAATTGTTTAACCACCTGCACATTGTGAATGTCGCTGCAGCACTGCTCGATGGCTCGCGCCGTTTGACTGCTCTGCCGTCGCAGTTGAATTAGCAGCAGCACCAGCTCCTCGTGTGTGCGACTCAGTAAATCGCCAGCCGAAACATCCAGATTCTGTAGTGTTTGTCAAATCAATCAATCAATCAATTCATTTATAAATATGCCGCTAGCAAGTTAGCTCGCTAAAATATAATCTAGCAACTTTACGGGAATTGCCGCCAGTTAATAAAAATAAAGTTTGATACGCAAAAGCCCTCTCAAGGCCTTGGGCTCTCATTTATCACACATGAAAATATTTCACTGAGTTGAGTTGGACAGGAATAACCCCTCGCATAGGGAAAAAATACCAAGAGCCAATATCGAATAGCCGGAATGAATTGAAATACGATAAGTTTTGTTTTCCCCTTTTATGGCAAATAACTGTGATAACTGTGATGCTTCGCAGCTCTGATGGCTTGAACTGTCTGTCAATCAGGAATGCACATGGCCACTGTTTGCAGTTATGCTGCACCAGCTTCTCTCTAGGTAGAATAAAAAAAAAGAAGAGAAACTAGCAAATATTTATGCCCCACTTACCCTTATCTGTGAGCTCGTCTCACGCTCCAGCATATCAATTTCAGCTCGACTGCCAGCCCGACGCATGCCAAACTGCAGTTGTTGCTGTTGCTGTTGTTGTTGTGGCGTCGATGTGGCCATGGCTGCTGAACGACCGTACAGACCGCGATCTGTCAGGACTGTGGCCTTGGCGTATTTGGTCTCCGTCGCATTGCCATAGTAGGGATCATAGTGGGCGAATGCCGATTCGTGCGGCTGCTGCTGCAGCTGCAGTGCATCCGATGGGTCCGGCTTGACAGTTAGATTGCCTTTGGGCAAATTGTTTACGTTGCGCACCGAAATCGAGGCTGCAAATTGAAAGGAGAGTTAGTTCTGGTGCTGATTTTATGGACGTGGCAGGACATGTAATTATTATGCGTGCGCGAAATAATTAGAGAGAAAGCATTAAAACAGAGTTAAACAGCGGAACTTGTTTTGTATTTCGTCTACTGTCAACTCAATACATTGTTGGCGGGTATACAAGCTGTCAGAGGCGGGCACTACGAAGTGAAAGCGTCTAAAGAGCTGTTCATCAAGCTGTTTGCAAAACAAATTTCAACTGCCCGCAAAAGTATGCTACAGTTTTTTTGTTGGTTGAATCTAAAAAAGTCGACTGTATACTGTATCGAGCGTGTATACAAATATAAGTGAGTGTGTGTGTGTGTGTGTGATAAAAATTAGTGTGAATATGAATATGAGTATTTACAAGCGCATTAATAATTACATAAGTGTAGGAACAAGTCATGTATGTATCTATGTATATATGTATGTATATTTATATATGTATATAAGGAAAATTGCTTACCATTTTGTTAATGTAACAAAACAACACAACAATAATGACAACAACAATAACAAATAACAATAAACGAAAGTGAAAACCAAAAACAAGCAACAAATAATTTTTAATTAAATACAGGCCTCATGCGGCTTACTCCACGCTCACTCTCTCTATCTCTCACGCTCCCTCTCTCTCTCTCACACACACCCTTTTCTATTTACAGCTTATGCCTCTTGCAAAGAATTAACCTCAAGAACTGCGCAAATATTTGTCAAATTTAACAATTGTCACATATTTCTAACGCTGCGTATGCGTAATGCCTCAATTGTTCCTCTGCGCCGCATTCACAATGGCATTGGCATTGCCATTGACATCATTGTTCCCATTCAGCTGCTGTATGATGGAACGCACATTGCTTGTCAGGGGCAGCATTGGTCCACTGGAGGCGGGCGTTCTGGGCGTGGGCGTGGCCGTCGCTGTGGCTGTGGGCTCTGCATTGTTATTGCTCTTCATGAGGCCACTCGACATGGCATCCCACTGCCGGATGGTCTCGCGATCCAGCTCCTGCGACTTGTGCGACAGATTGGAACCCGTTTCGGCGCGCAGCACCTCATAGACATCCGTATCGCTGACCTGGCTCATGCCCGAGCTATTCGCCAGCAGCTGCACATAGACATCGTGTTCGTCGTGCGAGGGCGACGAGGGAGGCGACGCTGCCGGCGGCTGACGCGGCGGCGGCTTCTGGCAATCGTTCACGTAGGTCACCTCACGCGTGAGCTTCGTCTTGGTCGCCTGGCTGCTGGGCACGGTCATGGGCGCCGGCGTCGGTATGGGCAAGGTGGGCGCAGCCACTGCTATGCGATCCAGATCGTCCAGGGAGCGCGCATGACGCTGCGAGACGCGCCGCAGGCTCTCGCGCCACAGGGCATCCTCCTCCCAGAGCAGCTCGCCACCTAGAACTGAGAGTTGATTGGCGTTATTCACTGTGGTGCTCACTATGCCTGCCGCTGCCGTCGGTCTCTTGTCCAGCCCCTGCTCAGCTGCACCCAACCCAACCGAACCCTCCGCCTCCGCCTCCTCCTCCTCCGCCTCCAAGTGGCTACCACCAGTCAGTTTACGAGCGAGATTTGTGTTTTTAGTAGTTGTAAGATATGAATGAATTGGGTTTAATGAATGACTCTCACTACCCTCGCCGCTGCCCAGCTCCGCTGACTCCAGCTGCACGTTATTCAACTTTATCAGATTCTTATTGCAGCTGTAGCTCAGCTTCTCGACGTTCGCCTTCACGCTGTACAGATTCTTGCTGTCGATGGCCTGATCCTTGTCCACCAGTGCATCCATATTGAACTGCAGCCTATCGATGGGATTGTGTATGTGGGCTATGTTCAGCCCGTGGGCGTGAATCTCACGCTGATTATTCAGCTGCGGTGGCGCAGGCAACTCGGAGTAATAATACGGCGCCGATTGCGTGGAGATGTTACTATTGTTTCGACTATGCATGGGGGTGAGGCGGACGGCTCCCTCGACGCCCATGCTGCCCAGCTGCTGTATGGAGTCCGTGGAGGAGAGAAAGTGTATGTTGCCATAGAAATTCTGCTCATCGCTATCCGCGTTGCGAAACGTCTTCGGTGGCTTGATCAGATTGGTGAGGATGTCGGCGCCTGCGGCGGCATTCGCATCGTTAAGCAGGTGTCGCGTGGGCGTGGCATGTGCCTGATAGGGCAGCAGGTCGCTGCTCTGCAGGTGACTCAAATACGTGTCCAGCTCATGGCTACTCAGCGTCTCCTCAAAGTGCTCGCTCATCGACTCGATCTCACTGATCGACTCCTGGGAGAGCGGACGCCGCGAGCGCTGGCGCTCCAGCTCGGAGTCGGAGCGCTGGCGGAACTCAACGGACTCGCTCTCGCTGGGCAGCGAGTTGTTGCTGGGCGGCCGCTGCTGCAGCTTGCAGCGGAACAGCTCCAGATCGGAGGAGGTGCGCGATGAGCTCTTGTCCGTCTGGCAGCTGTAGTTTGAGTCCGACAAGGTGCGCGCGTGCTGCTGCTGCAGCAGCGTCAAGCCAGAGCCGCTCGAGCTCGAGCCGGCTGCCCTGGCCGTGGCCCGGCGCTGCTGCTGCTCCGGCGTGCCACGCACCTTGGCAAAGTGATCGGGCAGAGAGAGGCGACTGCTCTTCAGCGTGGTGCTCGGCTCTGTCTTGGGCAGATTCAGCGAGGTGTTGCTGGCGTGCATCTTGGGCAGCTGCTCATAGGACAGATGCACTTTGCTGTCGCGCCGCCTCACCGTGTCATAGTGCTCCGAGGAGAAGATCTCCTCCGTCTTCAGCTCCTCCATGGGAGGCGGCGAGTCGGGTATGGGTGGCGGCGGCAATATCTCGCTGTCCGAACTCTCCGCATAGTTGTTGAGGGGCGTGGAAGCGCCCAAGTAGTATGATGCGGGCCTAAAGGTATCCGACAGGCTGAAACGCGTCCGGGAACGTAGTCGCTTGGCCTCCATCTGCTGTTTGCTGCTTTCGTCATCCGCATCGGAGCTGTCACTGGCCAGCGCGCTCTTGGCCGGCTTCAATATATCCGGCATGTCTTTGCCCTGACGTTTTTTGGTCTTCTTCTTCAATGTTTCCGTTCCGTTCTTTTTACTCTTCTTTAGCGTGGAGCGACCGGATGAGCAGTGTGCCTCCTCAGCAGCAGCTGTTGCTGCGGTTGCACCTGTTACGACTGCTGCTCCTGCTCCTGAAGCTCCTGCTGTTCCTGCTTCTGCTGCTTTGACGCCTGCCAGTTCCATGTAGACGGGCTCTGTGTGGGCCAGCTTGACGCTGCTGCTCGTCAGGGCGCTGGATATGCACATAATCTCATAGTTGCTTCTATTATCGTCGTCGTGAAGGCCTTTGGTCATTTCCACATAATGATTCTCCTCCTCCGCCTCGTTGTAGCTCTCGTGCGTCGCCACCAGACTGAGGGTGCCCGACTGGCCCAGCTCCACCTTTTTGGGCGTCATGGGTAAATAATGGCTCTCGTCTAACTGTTGATCCGTGGGCGTTATCGGCTCATTTACATAAAGCTGCTGCAGCTCCTTGTCACTCGGTAAATTGGCATTCGCGCTGACTGGCGGCGCCCCATCGATAGCAGCAGCAGGCGCAGCAGCAGCATCCTCATCAGCATCAACATCATCATCGTCATCGTCGTCCTGTGCCAGTGCCTCGTCGATGTCATCATCAGTGTACTCTTCACATGCAGTGCTCTCATCTTCTTCATCGTCCTGCTGCTGCTCCACCTCCACCTTCTCCTGCTGCTGCTGTGTTTGCTCTTGCTCTTGTTTCTCCATCTGTTCGTCAGTCTCTTTAGCTATGGCTGCCTCGCCCAGCCCAGGCTTGGCCTCTGCTGTGGGCGTTAAATCCTCTTCAGACTGTTGCTGCTGCTGTTGTTGTTGTTGCTGTTGCTGCTCTTTGTACAGCTTCAACTGCATCAGCATGGGCGTCTCCTCGGCATCACTGATAACCGCCTTGGCATACTCCACATTCTCGTAGTTGCTGCTGACCAGCTTGTTGCTATAGACGGGCACATAGTTGACATTCTGCGGAGATTTGGGCGCCGTCTTTTTGGGCAAAATGGGCACCGGCTGCTCGGCTGCCTCAGTTGGCTGCAGCTGCAGCTTAAGCTTGGGCCGAAGTGGCAGCTGCTGCCCCAAGCCGCTGGGCTGCACCTGGATAATGGGCGTGCGGCTGGCCTCGTGCAGCTTGAGTATGGGCTTGAGCTGAAAAGTTTGGCTGTTGGCTGTAACCTTTGTCGTTGTTGTTGCTGTTGCAGTTGCTGCTGTTGTTGTTGTTATTGTTGTTGGGTTGCTTAAATTTGAGCTAAGGCTAACATTTGATAGTGTAGTTGCTGCTGTTGTTGTTGTTGTCTCTGCTATTGTTATTGTTGTCATTGCTGTTGTTGTTGTGTTTTGTGTGCTAGATGTTGTTGTTGTTGCTGTTGTTGTTGTTGACCTTCCTGCCGTCACACTTATGTTATCATCCAGCCCAGGCCCAGTTGCGCTTTGTGCATTTTCTCTTTCTTTATCTTTTTTTCAAACATTTACAACATTTACAAAAAATTTTCAGTAACCAAAAAAAAAAAACGTATACACAGAAAAATGGAAAAGAAAGTTATATAAAAATAAATTTTTTTTAATAAATTTTTTTTTTTTTTTTTTTTTTTTTTTTTTGTGTGTTTAAGTTTGGAGCCCATGTTTTGAGTTTTGAGTTGGGTTTTAGTGCGAAATTTACAGCGGCTTTTAGTAGACGAAACACCAAGCACCCAATTTCCATGAATTGATGAAAACATTTTTAAGAACCAAACTACTCAAAGAAATTCAACAGTCTCTCAACTAAGATTTACTTATTCTTATTTGTATATTTCGGGTGAACAAAGTAAAAGTTTCAACAAATTACAGCACATGAAGAAGCCAAACTGAAATGTTTCTGGTAAATTGCAAATTTTCTTACTTGGCCCAGCAAAAATCGTTGCCTACTTTTAGGCTTGGGCTGTGGACAACATGTGAGGTCAGACAACCGATTTATTCAACATTTGTTTAACTTAATTGCCAATGAATAAATAATTATTTGAGCATTTGAGCACTCACATTATGTATTTATGTGTGTGATTGTGTATGTGTGTGTGTCTGTGTGTGTGCGCACGGCAGGAAGGTTTTTGTTTCATTTGATGTTTGTACATTTGGAATTTATTATATAATTGCATTTTGTCTCTGCTGCCATTGCATAATTCAAATTAATTAAAACATTCCAAATGCAACTGACAAAAACAAAATTAAATACATGTATATATACTATAGCTTGTTTGTTTAGTTTGGCATCAAAAAATATGTATAAATAGGCATGCAAATGGTTAAGCAGTAAACAGTTAGTAGTTAATAATAGTTTGCGCAGAGTGTTACTTAGAGCTATCGATACGAAACGGCATGCTACTTAGCTTAAAGTAATTTCAAGGTATAATTATTGAAGTTAAAGCTCGAAACTACTCGGCAACACAGTTGTCAGCTTAATCACAGATATTTACTACGCTACAGGCAATAAAGGGGACGGGGGAGTTGAAATACAAAACAGAATTATACGCTCAACCAGAATGAGCCATAGCCAGCTAAATAGTACACTCAAAAAAGGGTGTGTAAGTGTGTAGACAAATTGTGAATAATTAATGAAAAACTGACAGTTGACTAAATTTTTAACTTTTTGGTAAATAAAATGTAAAATTTACAATATTTTTAACAATTATAATAAATTAACAATATGGAAAATATTTAAATCTTTAAATAGATTATGTTTTTAAAATTTTATAAATATATAAAAAAAATTTTTTTTAATTCTATGTATTAAAATTTAGTGATATTTTTATAAATTTTTAGGAAGTTATTCCCAAGATTTTTCTATTATAAGAAAACAAAATATAGATGTAAATGATAAAAAATGAGGAAAATAAAAATGTATATAAAAAATGAGAATTTATTTACATCTATTTCTAACTTTGTTATTATCTTAAATTCCGCTAATTTTCAAACCAACCCGACATTTTTGTTGAGTGTACAAAATAGCTGGAGGGCGCTTCAATTGCAACAGGAGAGCAAAGCCAAAGAGCTAACAAAAGTAAAAGTAGAAACTACAGCAGAACAAAGGCACAAACTGCAACGTGAGATAGACAAACAGCTAACGAGATAGAGAGAGATAGGAAGAGAATCAGACAGGACAGAGATAGCGAGAAAGAGCGAGCGCAACAAGAGACAGAGATAGAGTAACAGTAGAGATATGTAGTTAGCCAAAGAGGCGACGATAGCACAAAAAGACTTAAAGCAAAGCAAAAATGGGAGGTTCTTGGGGGCAGGGTTGGAGCATTGTGCATATATAGATATAGAGAGAGAAATGGAAAACAAAGTCAAGTACTCACCCTCATCGTCCGAGGAGTAACTGTTGTAGACACCGCCTGGTCCCATATTCGCATGCGTTTCCGATCTGGAGCGCTGAATGCCCGCGGAGCTGGCGCCGGCTGCCGTTGCGCCGACAGAGCTTGTGGTTGCCGTGCCACCAGCAGCCGTGGCAGCCAGGCCCGTTTTGCCCGCCAGCGGTGCATAGCGAGCACCGCTAGCCACCGCCGTGGAGGCGAGCAATATGTTCGGATTGCTGCCCAGCTTGGACATGGCGGACATATTGCTGCCGCCCTGCTGCACGCCCTTGCGTGTTAGCGGCGACTGCAGCATGCGCTGCTTCCACTCCAGCAGGCGCTTCATGGACTCCTCGCGCTTGCGTTCGCCATCCAGCGGATTCTGCGGAGATGGCGCTGCGCCCGCTGTGGGCGAGGTGGCCAGCGAATTGTTGGCCGTGGAATAGTCGTCGTCCAGGCCGCCGTTACGCTTGGGCAGCCGGGCGCTGGCCGAGCGCAGGAACTGCTCGTTCTTGCTGATGATCTCTTGCGTGGACATCGAGGGTGGGAATATCGAGCCCGGATGCACGTTAAGCGGCGGCAACTCCTCATCCTGTGACAGCTGCTGCTGCTTTGCGTGCGAGGACACGGAACGCGCTGCAGCACCGCCGCCCGCACCCTGACTGGCCGAGCGACTCATGCGTGGCATGCTGCATGCAGCGCTGCCCTGTGCCTGCGCCTCGGCCAGCAGCTCCTGGCGCTTGTACGCCCGCTCATAGGGATTCTCGTAGCCAATGGTGTGCAGGCCGCTGCCGAATTCGCCAGCGACGCCGCTGGCGGTGCGATAGCTGCCCGCCTGCTGTGGCTGAGCACCGCCAGCACCACCGCCGCCGCTCTGCAAGTAGAGCGCACTCTTGCGCATCTTCTCCGCGTAGCTGGCCTCCGAGTAGTAGAAGCTGTCGGGCGTGCGATTTATGTCCAAGCTCGACTTGGGTCGAGGCGCGCGTCCTGTCTCGTGCTTGCTCTGCGCCACAGCAGCGGCGGCGGCAGCTGCAGCCGCCTCGGCACGCGCCTCATACTCCAAGAAGTCGGCGGAGTGCGGACGCACGATGGCCGCAGCGGTGCGGGCGCGCAAGTCCAGGTTATTGATTAGCTGATCGGCGGCCGTTGGCTGTGGACATAAAGCAAAGAGTAGTTAGTCTAAACTGTGCCCACACACGCACACACAAGTGAGCTTTGCATTTTAAAATGTTGCCCCAATTGGCAAATTGGCCTGGCCTATAAGGCGGCAGTCACTGGCAGCCAGCTGCCAAAGGGCCCAGGCGCATAAATCATGCACGCGACTTATTTCCTGGCTGACCCACAAAGCAGCTGCACTGTCTGCCGGCCGCGACGCCGCCCGAAAGGGCGAGCAGCCCATAAAGTTGCACTTTAGGCGCCACAGCCGGCAGCTGCCGCAATTGCCACAGCTGCAGCAGTTAGCGAGTGCCGCGAGTGCGCTGCATAAAACGTCTGCAATTTAGCAACCCACTGACACACTAAACTCTAATTAGTGGGCGTGCCGAGGACTTGCGACCAGCAACAGCAACTCTCCTTGCAAACTAAAAACTGAAAGTTTCAGATGCTCAACCTCTGATCCGCACGTAAACGGACCTCTGGTCTCGCTCTCTTGCATCCCTGGTCGAGGTACAAGGATTTAATGTTTCTGCATTTTAAACAAATATCTCGCTGCTTTAGTGAATCTCTATAGAAACGTGAGTTTCCTCTTCGCTGTTTTAGCGTTTTTAATCTCTCAGCTCGTTGGTTATATACAGAAGCCAGCTTTTATACAGACTCATAAAATGTCTGCATACCTGACTGCGTCTGCATTTATAAATATTTATTTTCTCTCTCTCTCTCTCTCTCTCTCTCTCTCTCTCTCTCTCTCTCTCTCTCTCTCTCTCTCTCTCTCTCTCTCTCTCTCTCTCTCTCTCTCTCTCTCTCTCTCTCTCTCTCTCTCTGTCTGTTCTTCTGTCTTAAAAGTGTTTAAGGAGGCGCCTTGACATGCTCAAGTCTTTGCTTGCGCTTGTTACATCTTGCCAAATTATAAAGTACATTTTAATTTTTAATTACCATTCAAAGTCAACATCAAACTGAGAACGCGCAGTCAAACTAACAAAGTTTATATATGTGTATATACAAAGGTTGTACTTTAATTAAAAGTTTCTCAGACAAACCTAACATTACATTTGATATGTTGTAATTGAAAAAGAAATTCAACTTGAAGGAAATTCAATTTGAATGTTTCACCTATACAACATTTATGATCTGAAAATTATCTGAGCGCGCCCTTTCACATTTGCAAAATTTAAATAATTTCCTCTAATTAAAAACTTTAAATGAATTTTTCTCTATTATTCATCACACCTCTAGCTCAGTTAGTAAAAGAAATAAATATTCAGACCTCATTTCCTCTCATATATAATTTAACTAAGCCTGTAAACTACACAGGCTCTCACCTAACTTAACCCTCAGCTCTCCGCCATCTCTAGTTAATTTCTTTCGCTTATGCAATCGATCAAATCGAATCTGTGTGGGTGTATGTCATACTTTTGGCGCTTTCCATCAATCATTGTGTTTTTGCAAGTTAATGCAAGTCAGAAACTTTTTCCATTTACCACACAGCAAACAGCAAGTTAACTTTGATGGCAGTCGAGGGAGCTCTGGCAGCAATCTAGCGATAAGTTTTAACCATATGCTGAGATGAGCCCAAATATGTGTTTGGGGAGTATATATTGCAGATATAGTGCCAAAGAAGAAGCATAAAACTTTAAAACTAAATGCAATTGACTTTGCAATGCAAAAAGCAGACAGAGATATTTTTTATAATTATGAAATAAGTAAATGCGAATGCTAAGCAGTTGAGCTGTACTAACAAGAAATAAAATTCTGCCAGAAAAATTAAACTATATTACATATATGAAATTAAATTTCCATATTGAAACTTGGGAGACTTAAAGCCTTAAATTTCTAGATGCTAAAAAGGTAGCATACCTCAATTCTCGGTCAGACTTAAGGCCCTCACTCGAACTTCCCCTGAATATCTCACTATATGGGCTAAAAAGGTGTCATACCTCAACTCGTTTTTGTGTAACTAAAGGAAAGTCAAATTCGCCCATTTGCCATTCAGCGTGAAAGTTGATGTTCAATGCATTGTGCTCTTGGCTTGGCCACAAGTTTTGGCCGAGTCGGCGCCTGTCTATGAGCTGGGGTAAACTTTAAGTAGGCCAACCTGAGCTCGTTGCCGCGTTGCAAATGGCTGCTGCAATTGGCCCACATTGGCCAACTTTGTAGCCTTTATTGGGCAAAGTTGTAGCTTCAACTGGCCAGAGGCCCGGGCAGACGATGCGTATGAGTTATTTGTGTGGAAGTTAAGAACCTACCTCCATGTGGTTGGGCGTGTAGCGTTGAGGCATGGCCGGCACATGCTTGCTGCCATCGTAGCTGGGCGGGCTGAGGGGCCGCCTGTAGCTGGCCGCCTCCTGCAGCAGTGCCTCCTGTGCAGACAGTGCGCCGCCGGCTCCTGCCAGCTGCGACATATTGTAGATATCCTCGTAGTCCGCCGCGGCAGCAGCTGCTGCGAACAGACGCTGCTGCTTGGAACGGCCGTAGGCGTCCGGCGTGCGGCGCTCCGCCTGCAACTGTTGCTGGGTCGGGTAGGCGCCACGCTGCATCAGCTTGGCCATGTAGAGGTCTCGCTCGCCGTAGATCTCCTCGACGGCGCGCTGCTGCTGCAGTCGCGCTATCTGCTCCTCCATGTCGAGATGCTGCTGCTGGAACTGCGCCTCCAGGTGATCCAGCGAGTATTGCTGCTGCGCCTGCTGCAGCTGCAGCGCCGTCGACACGTGTCCGGTGCGCGTATCGTAGATGGCATGATGCTGCTGTGGCTGCTGCTGTTGCTGCTGCTGCTGAGATCTCTGCTGGTACAGCTGCTGCGTGGGCGACAGCATGCCGCCGGCTCCGACAGAGCCGCCGGTGGCGCCACTGCGACGACTAGGTGGCACTGGCTGCTGCTCATTGTGCTCGGGCGACGGCGAGGAGTATCCGCCGTCGTTGATGCGGCGCGGCTTGGGCGGTGCATTGGCATACAGGGGCTGAGCCCCATTGCCGTTGCCCGCATTGTCCGAGGCGGGCGTCAGCTGACCCTTGCCCGGCTGCGACTGCAGCGTGTGGATGCCCGAGTCCGAGTTCTCCCCGCTGTGATTCAGCGAGGAGCTGACGCTGGGCTCCGACTCGCCACTGCTCGGCGCCTGCATGAGGCTGGCCGCCGACAAGGCGCGCACCCACTGCATCATGGCGTCGGCGCTGTCCGCGGCCAGCCAATAGGTGCGCATGTTCTGGTGCTCACACTTGAAGGCGAACTTGCGATAGATCTTGTCCTCCGGCAGGCAGGCGGAGACGCGGTACGAGGGCAGCAGCACCGAGCCCAGCAGCTTCTCCTCCTCCGGGCCCTTGTAGTAGTAGAGGCAGTACTCGGCCAGCACGAACCAGCGCTTGCGCCACACCTTCAGCCCGTCGGAGCCCTGCTTGTGCAGCCAGCCGGAGAGGGTGACGGGCGTGGTGGGTGGACGCTTGGTGATCGGAGATTTGAGCGCCTGTATGGAGCCGATACTCTTCTTGCGATCCAGCGGCGCATGGGTGGGACTGCGCGTGGAGGCCGACGAGGACTCCTCTGAGCTGGGCGTGGGCTTGGGCTTGACCACAGTTGAGATTTGCGTCTGACAGGCCTGATTGACCACATGACCGGGATGATTCTGTTGGATGTAAACGGGTCCATGCTCGCTGCCAGGCGTTTGCTGCTCCTGCTTTTGCCGTTGTTGTTGCTGCTGCTGTTGCTGTTGCTGCAGTTGTTGTTGCAGCTGTTGCTGTTGATGCAACTGCAATTGCAATTGCTGCTGCTGCTGCTGCTGCTGCTGGGCATAGAGCTGCTCCTGATAATGTTTTGGCATTTGCTGCTGCAGCTTCAACGGACCCGAGGCAGCTTGATATTGATTAGCCAAATTAAGTGTAGACGGTGGAGCCCGCTGCTGCTGCTGTTGTTGTTGTTGCTGCTGTTGCTGCTGTTGTTGTTGTTGCTGCTGCTGCTGCTGCTGCTGCTGCTGCTGCTGCTGTTGCAGTGTCATGTTGGACACCATGCTAGAGGATTGACTCATGTGGTAGTGGCCCGTGGGCGGATTCATGGCCTGGCGCATGGCAAACGTGCGCTGCTGCTGCTGAGCCGCCTCGCTCTGCGTGGCCAGCTGCGCCTGCATCTTGGCCTGCTGCAGCTGCTGGTACTGCGCCTGCAGCGCCGAGATGGGATGATGGCCCGCCGTCGCATTGCTCGCCTGCAGCCGCCCGGCGGCGGCCAGATACGTGCGCTCCGTGGGCGACTGATAGAGCTGGTCCCCGGTGCCGGCGCTGCTCGTGTACGACTGGTGATAGGGAGAGCTGTGCGAGCTGCTGGAGTTGCCGCCATAGCCATGATGCTTGAGCAGGCCGTGCTTGGCCTGCGGCTGCATGTCGATGGGCGACAGTGGACCGCCGCCGCTGGACGAGGTGGCCGTGGGGGACTGCTGGTAGATCGATTGCGGTGCCAGGTGGTAGCCGGCGGGCGAATGTGTCGCTGTGCGATAGTCAATCAGATTGGTTTGATAGGCCAGCGGCAGCTTCTTCTGTTGCTGGGCCGTTGCCGCCTGCAGCTGCAACTGCTGCAGCTTCTTTGGGTCCATGGTGCCGCCTGTGAAGAGCGGTGGCGCCTCCAACCTGCAAAGCGAGAGAAGAGCAAAGAGTGAGCGAGAGAGAGTTAAAATAATGTCTACAGCCGTCACATGGCGTTGCATCAATTAGCAAAGGTCGACGGGATTAATTCAATTGCGTGGACTTCGGCGTAAGCCCTGTGCCGCAACGGGGCTTGCGCCAATTTAACCAAATCCGTGCGCTCCACACCACGGCGACGGCGACGGCGACGGCGATGGCGATGGCGACCCGGGCGGCTCAGCTCGTAATTGATGGTAATTGATTGAGTGCAGACCCGACTTTGTGCACCGTGGAATGAATTTAGCGTTTGCTGGCAACAAATTTAACACACTTACCAATCCCAGAGCTGGTAAATGCAGCCAAACATGATTTCGCTTTCGTTCGGATTAATTAATTAATGATTTAATTGGCTTTATAAATAATTCGATTGTGCGCACTCGACCAATCGCACGTGAGTCTCCTTTTTTTCAATTTTGTTTTCGTTTTCCTCTTTGTTTGATTATTATTTGATTGAATGCGAAAACTCAATTACATTTTTCGTTCTCATTTTCCAAATGAAATGTGGCCAAAGTCTCTTTGTGATATTTTATTCGCCTATTTCTTTCTATTTTTTATTTCTTTTTTCTTTATTTTTCTTTTTGTGATATGTTTGCTTTGTGGCGCGCTAAGAGAATGAAAATTTCGCTCAGTTGCAGTTGGGGGCACAAAAAATGTCGGGCCAAATATCTATTTCGATTGTGGGCGAGGGCGCGCCAGGAGTGGGGGCCGGCACAGATTTATGCCCCACAAATTGCGTTTGAAAATTGAAAATGCGTTTGCTGCAGTCGAATATTTATTTTAATAGACAGCACAGAAAAAAAAACACACACACAGAAACAAACAGAAAAATACCTTCGAGCGCAATTTTAAAATACAAATATATATATTTTTATTATTGTTTCTTCTTTTATAATATTTATTTATGATTTGTTTTCGTTTGAGAACATTAAATAAACATATTTATCTAGAGTTTTGTTGAATTTGCACAGATTAAATAGTTCAAATATTAGAAATTTTATGTTCGTTTCATTTTTCTATTTTCATTGCAATTTTTGTATTTTTAGAATTCAATCAGATTTTTATAAAATTGCAAAAAAAAATGATCAACTGGATTTTCTGCAGAAATATTGTGGTGTGAAACTAATTTAGCTCGATAGCAGTAAAAAAAAATCAATTTATTTAATATTTATTTAAAGTTTTGATATGAATTTCATATTCAATCCTAACTAGGCAGCTCATTAAGTTAAAGCTCAAATTTGCATTTACATTTCCATTAAATTGAATGCATTATGAGCTATGATAAGCGATATGAAACTGCCAGCACTTGAGGTTTATTTAAGCAGAGCGTTTACAGTTTCTTGTCTGTGGCAAATCGACTTGGCAGCCCGCAACCGCAATTAAGCATGACAATTTATGACCGAATACGAGCAATATATATATATATATATATATATATGTATATAATTCGAGAGCGCGGCATGCAGTACAGCCAGAGGAGCCCAGCTGATGAGCCGATGAACCGTTCCGGCTAACGAAGTCAACGGGAAAATGCGTTTAATGCAATTGACCAGAGCTATCCAAATTATATGACACAAATGAAATGAGTGTCGCACAAACACACATATACATATGTATACGTATATGTAATGTCTATATATACATCTGCGTATCTGTTTGGATGCTTGTCTGCAGCACATAAATTAAGCGAAATTGAAGTTGTCACATGAATTATATATTGCAAATATCATTTGTGTAAATGCAGCAGGGAATCGATTTTTAAAAAAACAATGTAAGCATGGCATACTTGGGGGCGCTGGGCGTGATGTGAGAGAGCCAAGTTAACAGCGCCTGACAGCACAATAAAACTTGGCACAAATGTCGACGTTTCTGCATTAAAAGCAAAGTCCTGTTGAAAATGTTGCGCAATAAACAAACAATTGATCCGGGACTTAAGCACAAGCGACGTCATGTTCGTGTGTATGTGTGTATATGTGTGTGTGCGAATGTGTGCAAGTGTGTGTGTTTTGCTGGCAACAAATGTTAAATCATGGCATTAGCTGCTTTTGCCATAGCCATTTCACGCTACAATCAACAGCCAGCCAGACGGGCCAGGCTGGCAGCTGACCAGAACGGACGGGCTGGCTGCCAAAGAAGAGTGCGAAGAGTGTTTAAGCCATTTTACAATTGCCTTCGAGCCGGCCCACAATTTGTATGGCTTTCAATTAACGCTTCCAGCCAGCATTTCACATTTCACAGCGGCGCAGTCCTCGATGCAAGATGCAGCCAAAAACAAACGCACAAATAAAATAATGGCAGAGAAACAATAATAACAGCCAGAGTAGCAATAAAAAGAGCACAGCTTGATTAGAGTTTGTGCTGACAAATACCCTGTAGAGCTGCATAGGTGCCAGTTGAAAGTATTCATAAAGTGTTGCAGATCAGAGAGCTGATTAAGAATCAGAAAATTTGTTTAATTTGATACTAGATTTTTCTTTTGAACAGAATTTTTTATATAAACCCTATATAGGTTAAGCTAAATAGGTTGCGTTTAATTCTATCTTCATAATTCTTTAAGCTTAAGCTTAAGCTGCCCAGCTCGTCTCATCAAATCCTTCTTCATTCATTTGATTGTTCCAGGGTATATAAAAAATCGATAGCTATTTAACAAGAACCGCAACGTCTGGGGCAGGACTTGGCTGCCACCCCTCCTCCCCCCCCCCCCCCCCCCCCCCCCCCTCCCCTTCCCCCTTTCCCCCCCCCCCTTTTTTTTCTTTTTTTCCCTCCACTTTTTTTGCTTTGTTTCCCGCGTTTGTCTTTTTTTTTTTTTTTTTCGTTTTTTTTTTTTTTTTTTTTTTTATTATTTTTTTTTTTTTTTTTTTTTTTTTTTTTTTTTTTTTTTTTTTTTTTTTTTTTTTTTTTTTTTTTTTTTTTTTTTTTTTTTTTTTTTTATTTTTTTTATATTTTTTTTTTTTTTTTTTTTTTTTTTATTTTTTCCTTTTTTTTTTTTTTTTTTTTTTTTTTTTTTTTTTTTTTTTTTTTTTTTTTTTTTTTTTCTTTTTTTTTTTTTTTTTTTTTTTTTTTTTTTTTTTTTTTTTTTTTTTTTTTTTTCTTTTTTTTTTTTTTTTTTTTTTTTTTTTTTTTTTTTTTTTTTTTTTTTTTTTTTTTTTCCCCCATGCCGCGGTGTGGGGTTTTTGGTGTTTTTTTTTTTTTTTTTTTTTTTTTTTTTTTTTTTTTTTTTTTATTAATTCACCAGCCCCCCCCCCCCCTCCCCCCCTTTTCTTTCCCACCTCATTTTTTTTTTTTTTTTTTTTTTTTTTTTTTTTTTTTTTGTTTTTTTTAACCAAAATTTTTTTTTTTAAAAAAAAACCCCGTGGCAGCCAATAAAAAATACAAATAAATATAAAAATCAATCCACCCCCTTTTTTTATTAAAAAATTTTTTAAATTTAAGCCAAGTCAATATGAATATATCAGCGCGTGAGTTACCAACCCAACAACACACACAAACACATATTCAATAATTCTTTGTACACACATAAGCACACACAAAAACACTCAAACACACACAAACACATATTCAATAATTCTTTGTACACACATAAGCACACACAAAAACACTCAAACACACACACAATTATAAAATACCTACACATAAGCATTGTACTCTTTGTAAGAAGATACGAAACAAAGAAACCAAAAAACTTAGAAATAAAGACTCACTTCTGTTTTGGCATTTGAATGAAGAGGACGTTTTATTAATATCTTGACACCTACATATATACACCATCTAGCTCCCGATGGTAATTGGCGCAGCCGGTAGGATATGGATCTACTTATAATCATGCTAAGTATCATTATTTTTGTGAAGTTCACTAAAGTGGAGTAACTGTGTATAAGATGCATTGCTAAATGGAACGGAATCAATCGCTGATAATCGTTACCACAAAAAAAAAAAAAAAAAAAAAAAAAAATATATATATATATATATATATATATATATATATATATATATATATATATATATATTGCAGTCTATGTATAAACATGTACACATGTACCTAATTTTAAATAACAAATGTGTTGCGATTGGGCAGAATCAATCGTTGATAATTGCTGTTATCGCAACATTATTCATTAAAAATATATATGTACATATGTGGATATGTATGCATATGAACATCTTGTGGTGTGATATATGAAATCAAACGCTGATCATCGTACTTCATACACAACAAACATTCATTCACAAACTCATGATGTGGTGGGGTGGAATCAATCACTGATAATCACTACTGCCACAGCATGATTAAACAACATAGTAATGTATTTGTGAATTTGTACATGCAGTACATATATGCAGACATACGTAACTAGAAAATCGTCTATTATTTCACAACTACATGAAATTTTAAGACACGCTATGAAAAATAAATAAAAAGCAGCAACGCCACAATTCTGCGTTTCGCCGCCGACCTAACGGAATCTTGAATTTCGGTCGTCACTCTCAACATTAAAGAGGCTCTGATGTCCGGCGCCACTAGACACGCGACAGAATTACAACGCTCAAAACTCAAGAAATTTCGGCCGACAATAACAAATCTATGCAACATACAATATATGGCGCCACTAATCTGTCTTTCGACGCCGCCACCGTCGCTTATTTCGGCGAAACGAAATATGCCTGGCGTCACACATTCGCACAACTACGCTACAAAATATGTAGTTTGTAGTGAAAGACACTATTCAATGAGCAACTCGCAAAACTACAAGATCAGTTGCGACACAGAGCTCAAACAGAAAAGACATACATACAGCTTACAAATAATCTCATAGTGCAGTGATAAATAGTCGTAATCGCTCATGTGAACAGAAAAGTCTATAAAATCAAACGTTGATAATTATATGACTTAACTGATCGGCTTTGGTAAAACACATACGCAAATTTTCATAGTATATATCATTTTCATTCTTACGTTGTTTTTCCCTACGGTGAATTAGATCCGATGAATTCTGGCGCAACAACTTTTATACCAACGCAGCATTCGTAAAACTGGTGTCAATACCACAAGCAATAGCATTTTATTAAGGAATGTCAAAGCGATATACACTTCGGCCAAGAACATCTACCAGGCAAATCATAAAAATAAGCGAAAACACAGTTTATCCTCCCAACGAAAACTCAATGGACTCCGGCAACGCCTCGGTATCACTTCCGTCTACTATATCGACTTCAAACGGTACACCTTCAACAATTAGCATGGATAACACTCCAACAACTGTAACCCCAACCGACATCCTCGCTTTCATCAAGGAAGTACCTACCTTTGACGGAACCCCTAATCAACTGCAAGACTTCATCGTTAATGTGGAAGAAGTGATCACATCTATGCAAGGAATCGACCAGACACCGTACAGCTCCCTTCTACTAAGAGCTATCAGGAATAAAGTCATAGGAAGAGCTAATGACGCGTTAAAACTGTGCGACACTGGACTCATCTGGAATGACATTAAGGCTAATCTGATTCAACATTATGGTAACAAAAAAAGTGAAGCTATGCTTATTCACGATTTGCAAAACATTTCTGATAACTTATCTTTAGGTCAACTTTTTATGGTATTTTGAAAA